GTGATTCACAGCAGGATTCGGTTACTGTCTTCTCCTGTTCGAAACTGTTTTGATGCAAATGAAAAAGGCTCATTTGAACGTTAAGAAACTGTACGTTCAATCGGACAACACAAAGTGCTATCAGAATGGATTGCTAATATTTGAAATGTTTCTGTTAGCTCACCAGCATGGTTTTGAATTGCAATCGTTTGTGCATACTGAAATGCAAGATGTATACATTGATGCCCATTTTGCCATTGTAATGCATCATGTGTTGAAATATGTCAATATGGGGAACGCTGTAATCTCTCCAACTTAACTCAGCATAGTGCTTCAGAGCAATGGTGAACTAGCAGATACTGTAGTGTCTTTGTTCACACTTGATTGGGAGAAAGTGTCTGAGCTTTAGGTTGAATACAAAGAAACGTTCCAGTTCTTTGAGAAGATTTCTCGATGCAATGAGGTGGTGTTTAATGGAACTAGACTTCATATTTATGAGTATTCTGGCATGAACTCTTTCATAGTTGATTTAAAGGACCTGTTTCATCCAGTGTCATCTGTGGATGATCAAGAAAATTCTGCTCAGATGAAAACTCGGATAGTGAAATTGATGTTATTGATGAACAAAACGAATTGCAGCCGATGAATGATAGCAATCATTGTGACAAAATATACATTCACAACACATGCATTGAGGTACATACAACACAACAGCAAAACACCACAATCTCTACTGGAAGCAATGAGTTTGTTGAAAAAAGACAATGAATGGTGTATATTTCAGTGCATATTCCCAACAATGAGAAAAAAAAGATCAACACATGTGTTGTGGTGGTAGAGAAAAGAATGATTTACTCACAGTATCGTTGAAACATGCAAAGAATCTCATTGATCAAGGTCATATGGATTTCATTGATACTACGAAACGAGGTGAGATAGCATCATCAAAATGAATCTGAATTGGATTACGATGACATCGATTTCATCCCAGAAACAATCTTGCATGGTTGGGGGAAGCAACTTGCATATGGTTTTGTCTATGGAGCAAAATACATTGACAATTTCAAAGATGATATTGATGAGGTGTTTATGAGAGGCATTAATGACAAGCATAACAAAATGGTACCGGAAGAATGCTTGAAGAGCTACAATGGAAATACCCCATTCGAATTTACCAACTGATACTGAGATTAGAACACAAATTATGTCTTTGACAGCAAAGTACAAGAAGCATGCTACATTGCAGTTGAAATCCAGAGGTATTCAGGAGTAATATCAAATGATCATTACTGAAATTGTTTCGGCATCCAATTACTCAATTGCACATGCTCAGGCTTTTCTGGAGTTCAAGAAGAATAGCATCATTGATCAAGGTGATGAGAATTATCCCACTGATGCCAAGATCAAGGTCTTCGTATCTACCCTGAAAATAAAGAACAAGAATGCAAACAAATCGTCAAGAACACAACAAATTACGCTTGATCTTATCCAAGAGGCTAAGTCAACAACACAACACCACAGGTACATCTTCTAAGGTGGAGATCCACCAAAAAGACTAAGTTTATCAATGCGTAATTTGTCATTAAATATGTGAATTTTTTTCATAAAGCTTTGTGTGGAATTTTAGTTCAACCTGAAAACACTAAAAATGGGGCTTTTAGCTCATTCCAGAATGTGATATATTAAGGTCTGCCACAGAGCCCAAATTCTGGGTGCTTGGCTCATGGAAGCACTGTTAAAAAGGAACATAGAACAAATTAAATATAATTCAATCATTTTATTCCATGATGTCTATAGTAGCATGGTTAATACTCAGCATGCATATAAATTTCAGTGTGCAAGCCACCAGTCTGGATAAGCATAAGTAAATGCTGAATGGGATGAAATCAATTTCAGATATTTCTATTTTTTGGGAAAAGTTGTTTCTTTGAGATACACTGAACCAAAACTTTTATATAAGAAAAATATTTTACTGTAATAATTATCTTTATCATACAGTGATAACAACAACAAAAGTCATTTGCTATTTTGAGTTGCTTTCCTGTCAGAGCTGGAGCTGTTATCTGCAAAAGATGTGGGATGTTTTTCTTTAATTTGCTGCTACAGCACTTCATTTTAATTTTACAGTTGGCACGTTTCCAAAACTCATTCTCAGGAGGGTAAGAAAAATAGTCCCTCACAACAGTCCATTTGGTCTTTTGAAAGGTGTGGCCATTGCTTTTGCAATGTTAACTTGTTACATTTTTTTGTGTTACAACTTCAGTCACTGGTTTGAAGATGAGACAAAATGAATAATTATTGGGAAAAAATTTTATTGGAATTTAACCTGTTAGTCAGATATCTTAAACTTGCATTGAATTTTCTAATCAAATATCTGATTATTTGGTACAGCCCAAAATAGTATTTGACTATAAACTGGTGACTTATATGTTGCTGTATTTAACAGAACATGCTGTTAGTTAGCGTCTGAGTTATTATTGATGACAGTAAGGTATTTAAAGTTCTGCTTGTAGACAAAAGGATAATGTTTTGGAGATCTACAATTTGTTGTATAAGTAAAAAGAGAGAAGTTTTGATGCCTAGTTACCTGAATAATAATGCTGTGTTTAACTAAATAATCATAAAAGGAAAGATGGAAGTGTTATGACTCCTTTATTATTTGATCCTGCTCATTTTATACTTAAATTCCCATATCTTTCTCTCTGTCCTAACTTGATCATAGTTGGCTAACTCAACTACCTCTGACAATTTAACTTTAAAATCATTTAACACAAACACTATTAACTTATTATCCTTACATATTCATTTCTCGGACTATTTGTGAAAAGAATGCATTTTCTTCTTGAAAATGACATACATGAAATATAATAATCTTGGTCTTAATTTTAATAACTTTTTTATACATTAGTTGAAAAACAGATGAATTTCTGCCATTATCTATCTACATGTAATATGACAACTGTTGAGAATAACACGTAATACTCAACATACCAAAAACACAAAATAACTTGAACTTACCTCTTCATTCTAAGATTTAGGAGCCATTGTGAGTTCATGTAAAAATAAATGCAGGTTTTTATTGCTGTCAAAACTGAAATTGATTCATTTAAATTATAGGTAATTTGATGAGAAATTGTAACATTTTCAGTGAAGATATATTGGAAATTTGAAAAGCACAGGAAAGATTATGTTAGGTCTCCAGATGTTGAGTGTCAAATCTGTGAGAAATATTCAAGACAGTTCAAAAGAAAATTCTCAAACATTTAATTTTCAAATTGACTTTAGCTCATGAGATCGAGCTACAATACCTACTGCATTTTTTGTTAAATATTTGCTTGTATTTACATGGTTCTAAATTGCATATCATAATATATATATATAGTTATAAAGTATACTTTTGTATGCAACAAGAGGAACTGTAATGTTAAAAATGTATTAAAAACTTTTGTCTTTGTGAGTGTATAATACAATTTAGTTAAATCCAGATTTCAAGTATCAAAGTCACAATTTCATTGTTTTATTTCAGGAATTGTAGTTTTTACACAAGTCAGAACCAACCGTTTATTAAGAAGAGGCAACTTGAGAGCAAACTTGTTGCACCTTTAGCCAGCATTTTGTCTTGCAGACTTCGAGAAGGTTATACGGTTAAGAGTGTTAGATTTAGTAAAGGTTAGTTCAGTGTTCTTCATACTACCAGCTAAATGTTGTGTATAGTAGGAAACTCGTAATAGGTTAATTTTTAATATTTTTTGCAGAAACCACCCATGTTTAGGAACTTCCTTGAGTTTTGGGACCTTTTGGTCCAACACTGGACCATAATTTTATGATGTACCTTTTAGTTTATTTTAATGATATTATACATTAGTTTTATATTATTTGACAGAAAAGAGTAAAAGCTATGCAAAGATAAAAAAATATCATTTCAAGGCTGTTTCAATTTCTTTGAAATTGCATCAGTTCAATATGACCCAAAGCATAAATAATGTACCTAAATTCTGAACAAAATAGGAGGGTTAAAATAGATATACTAAGATAATTGCTGTTGGGGAAAAAACAGAGCTTTGCCTAAAACAGTAATGTAATACTAAGAATGCTTTTGTGACAGAAGTTTTAGCTTAAAATAAAAATAAAGCATAATTTTGAACAAATGTTGAAGTTAAATGAAGAAAGTATTTTTACTCAACATACTTCATTCAATTTAAACTTTCTGAAAATTGTGAATTTTATAAATTTGTTTTTATGTAAACTTTCATTATTTGGTTTTTGTTTTGAAAAAGTCAAATGCACATTCATAATGTTATTTTCTGTTTCTTATTATTTTTGTTGTTGTACAGCGTACTGATTTCACTGAAATCAGTATTATTTTATCTATTTTATTAATCGTTATTTTATAGTGTTTTGTTAATCATTATTAAGTTGCTTTTTTAAGTTGTCAAGTTAGCAAAATGTAATTAAAATATGCTTTTCTGCTATGAGAATTCCTTCAAATAATTGCATGTATTTTTTATTCTTTAATGCAAAACATTTGTTAGGATTTTTATTAAAATAAAAAGAATATATATGCAATAATTCTTCAAAATGATAGTACTGTTGTAGTACTATGATGGGGATTATAAATTATTATTTTAGTATTGCTATGAATGAGGTAACTTATTTTCCAATAAATAAACTAAATTGCTGTCTGTTCCAATCATTTCAAGTTAACTAAGCAAATGAACCCATATTTAATTGCAGTTTTCCTTTGAGGAAGTAATATTGTTAGATTAACTTAATACAGACATATATGATAACGAGAGACTTGACTTCATGCTGTAACATTAACGTAAAATGGTGTTTGTTTTAGAAACATATGTAACAAGTATTAATTTAACTCATAGTTTTTCTGTTTGGTGAAACATTTACAGCAGATTGCAATGTATTGTATTTAATATATTAAAAAACAAGCATACTATATTTTTACTTCTCTGTACAAATGTATCAATACTCAATTTTTTGTTGATGTGGATTTTAGGAGATGGTAGGATTGAGGTGAGACTTGTGCTACCCTGGAAGTCAAACATTATATTAGAGTATGTAATTCTTGCAGCATGGCCACCTCGATCTAAAAAGTGAGTTGTCTTCTGTGTGTACCATGCAAAAGCTCTGGAAAACTTTTTTAAATCCACATGTTAATAGTAGTGGCTGTTTACAAATTTTAATGATTTTTAATAAATATTATTTGTAACTTGTTTATTGGATTCATCTTAAAAACAACATATTTTTTTTTCTTCTAAAGAATGTTATTAATTTTCCATAAAGTCTGACTAATTTGTACTGGTCTTAAACAGTGTCTTAATTGGTGAAATTGTTCAGTTTGCAAATAAATTTGGGGTTCACATTTCTTACCTTGTATGTGTCACTAATTTTAATACCATTAAAACAGGAGAAATGATTTCTTCTAGTGAAAGTGGTCATCCATCTTGTTCTCCAGCTCAACCTGAAAGTTGCCATTGTGAACTGATTGTTGAAGGAAGCTATGACTTCCTTCACGATGTCACATGTGTTAAGAAGCCTATCAAGAGTTTCTACAGAGAAGCTGTTGTGTGTAACTTTTGGAACACATTGAAAAAGTAAGGAACTATATGTGGTATTTTTTATTTTTTTGTACAATGAAATTTTTTGGAAAATTATAAGAAATTTTTCATTACTTCAAATTTGTTACTCCAGAAATTATTTTATTAGTTGTTTTCATTCAACCTGATATTAGCAAGATATAGATTACAAAGAGTGGCTTTCATAATTTCTCTCAAAATAATTAAAAAATTGTTTTAATTTGTATTTTCATATTAGCTGTTGTTTTTAAATGAGTAGCTAACAAATGTTTCTTAAAGATGGATTGAAACAAAATTTGTCCTCTTCTTTAAATGTTAACTTGCTGATGAATTGGCATACTATGTTTTGAGGTGTATACACACTGAAATGCAATTGCTGAGAGTGAAAATATTTATGAACTTGGAAGGCTCTTTCAGTTTCAAGGTTTAGTTCATTTCAAGTAGCCCAAATTATTACCAATTTCAACCACTTAGTTGATAATAAAAAATTCGACTACTAGAAGTGAACTAAACCTTGAAATACTGAAACTGAAAAAGCCTTCCAAGTTCACAAATATTTTCACTTTTAACAGTTTCATTTCAGTTTCTTGTCAGAATGTGTGTGTGTGTATATGCCTCAAAACATAGTATTTTGATCTAAATAGGATTACAAGTCATATCTGACCTGTATTTTCAAAGTAGCTGAATGTTTGAGGTAGAAGGACTTTTCATTAACAACTCATATCATGTCAAAAGTACTATTCATGATTATGAATAGAGATGTTAATAACAGCTAATGTTCAGTGAAATTATATGCTTTTTTAGAACCTGTTTTTAGAGATTGTTGATATTTGATGTGTGAATGATATATTTTTCATTCATATATTCTGAATTAATTTTTCACGTTGTACGATAACCTCAATTTCATTGCTTGATATATGCATACAAGAAGTTATTTTTTAGCTGATTAATAATGCACATGAAGATGAGATGAACATTGAAATGTTATTCTCTTTGCTCTCATGAGGCATATAGTTTGTTATGCTTTTGGAAAATATGTTCATATACAAGTTTACTCTATAAAATAATGACATTTTATTTGTAAAATATACTAGCATATTCGATCTTTTTTTTTATCTGCTTCACCATTAATTACCTTGTTGTTACGTTTCTGTCTATACTCATGCATGTGTTTTGCATTACATCTTGTTAGCTTCAAAATCATGAATTTTATTATTCAGTGTGAGGCTGTTCTTTAGTGTTGAATAGTATGAAAAGTTTTAAAAATGGTGAATACAAATATTTTTAAAATATGAAATTCTCAAAGTATTCTCAAGTAAGTTTTTTGCTTCATGAACTATTTCTTAGTTTTTTCTTGAACATAAATACAATGAAATTAAAGATTGTGACATTAGAAAGAAATAGGACTTTTGTTGTTTCTTTCTTGTTTCAGTTTTAGTATTTTCTTTTAGGAAGAGCAAAAATCTCAAGTTGTGATGTCAGGGTCAAGGGTCAGTTCTTGAGAAGTCATAATGTTCAAATTATTTTACACTTTTTGAAAACTAATTTTCCTACAACTAATACTTTTAGTCGTTTTGTTTCAGCCTTTCTCATACAGATCAACTTTTGGCTCACCTTCATTCATTCACACACAACCCAGTGTTTTATACTATTCCAGACAGCATAAAAAATGGGGTTCCTCTGTTCTGCTTACCACCAAACGCATCCAAACCCATTTTATTCTCCAAGTAAGTAGATGCAGTATTTCGTGACTTCCTATTTGAAAGAATATTTATGAAATTTATCATTGGTGTTTTCATCTTTTTTCTTTCTTATTTGCTTAGTTATCTAAAGTTTGCTCATGTCAGGTTTTGTATATAGGACTGGGATTCTTTACAGTAAGTGTCTCTGACTTATTGACAATAAATTTCAACAATAAACAAACAGCAATACAGTCCACTTGTTTTAAAATATATTATATATATAAATAATATGTGTAAACAAATCTGCAGTAAACTATAGATTTTAAAAATAACTAAATTTAACACTTGCATTAAACATAAACAATCATGTATATCAAACAGCTCACTTAAAATGGCATTTCATAATTGAAAAGTTTCTAGTATTTTATTTTACTCTTTATTTTATCAGCCATGATAATGTTTTAGGATATATATGTTGCAGTTCAAAAAATTAATCTATAGTTAATATTCTTGATTTGAGTATAGTGTCATGATATAAAAGACTGATTGGTTTGGATATTATTGATTGATTTGTATTTCTGGGTGAATATTTTATTATTTTTGTCTTTTGTTATAATAAGAGTTAAAAGCAAATGATTGTAGAAGGTTTTGTTAATAACTAATTGGTGTCGAGAATATTGAAACTGACCAGATGACTATGTAATAAAGATATAAATAGTGTGAGATGAGTGGGAAGCAGTAGATAGACAACAATAGACAGATAATAGCAAAAGAGAATATAGTTGTGTGAAGTTAATTCCTGCAAAGGTAATAGGCCTAACTTTTGATATGTTAGAGTGAAACTAACAGTATAAAATAAAAGATAAGAAGGATAATTTTATTCCATCAAAGCCTAGTTCTAAAGTAATTGAATCAGCCTGGGTACACTTTAACAAAAGGAACAGAGGATCTTCAGAAGAAAGAAGATCAAATGAATTATGGTAACGTGCACCACAACTGTAAGTGAAGCACAGACAGAACACTAGTACGATAGTAATATAGAGAAGATAGTTCGACTTGTCAACTGAAATTCTAAAGTAATTGAATAGGCCTAAGTGGATTTTTGACAAGTAGAAGAGAACTATATATAAATATTGTTTATGATATGCCTGTAATCACTATATTGTGAAGACTTTGCTGTACATACATTTAACTTGTTCTGAATATATATATTATTTTGAAGCCAAGTGAAGTGCATGCTATTCATTTATCATGGAATTTATCGCCAACAAGTCACAGACACCTACCATAGAAGAATCCTAAGCCCAACAACAACATAGTATATATTTATAATATTAAGAAATGTAAGTAAAAGCCATTTATTTCGACAATTGGCAAAAAAAAGAAGAACTTGTATATAGTATTTTTTAAATCTGACATACAGTATCATTGCGTTGATGATGTCTGTTTGGTATTCAATAACATTACGTTAACATAAAATTATTGAACTGTTGTTCATATTTGCATAGTTTTAATTTATTATGCATAATACAACAAATTACTTGCAGGTTAACATTTAGGCATGTTTGATATTAGTATGCCAACAAAATTACCTGGATTATGATATAAAATGCTTCTTATTTCAATAAATATATTGAAAACACTATAAATGTAGCATTGGGTAGTGTAAAATTTAATTTTGTTTCTTAGGAATTCATCACATACACAATTTGCTTCATTTTGGAGACCTATTTGCATGCTGGATATTAATGTTTGGTAAGAATTTTTATATTATTCATCATAACATAAAATATATGTAAAGAAGGTTTTCCCTTACTCTAATTGAGATTTTATATATTTTTTGCTTGTATTAAGTATCCTCAAATATTCAAGTGGGTTTTCTAAAAATCTGTTATAAAGTAAAGTTTTTTGGGAAACACAGTTGTGCAATTTTTGCTTTTTTTTTGAAAATTTAATTCAGTGTTGATAAATTGCACCTAGTTTTCAAATTGAGTTTTTATTTATAGTGAGCTTTAACAGTCAATGTTTGTGCAGTAGCCAGTTCTCATCCTGAATAAGATTACTCTTTTACCTGTAACCATTGATTCTCTAGGTATTTATGCAATTAGAATAAAATTATTCTACATTTACCTACTCAGATTGTCCTTCAACAGTGTAGTTTATTATATCCTTACTATTATTTCCTTATTATCCTTTAGTCGAATCAAAACCTACAGTCACGCACAACGTGATTGTCTGATAATAACCCAATCTTGATTCATGTAATTACAAAACCTTCTATGTTAAAATCACATTAACTTTTGAAAAATAAATTAAGTCCACCGCAAAACAGTACTTACATCTGAAGGGAAAAAGATCGAACTTAGCTCTGTTTTGGTGTAAACCAACATATTCTCGTGTCGTGCATAATGTGTAGTTTAGAATAATGCTATAGTTTCCTTACTATCCTTCATTATCCAACTTACAGTTTAGTTTTAGCCATTTTAATATTGTTTCTTGATTTATCTGTGCTTGAGTTGGATTTCTATAACCTATGTTTCTAAATATAACTAAGTTCCTCTATATGCTAACTGCTTGTGACTTTTGTGACATTCCTGTTGTTGTGCAGCACACAGGCTTCTTGTTCAGTTCCAGTAGCATTCATTCACTAATGTTTGTGTTTTGTACAAATTAGTGCTTACTCATACTACTTTTTTTTCCCTCATAGCATATGTCTTTTGCAACATGCAATTTTTTAACTCTTTTAATATTTTCCACTCAAATATTTTGCTACATTAGGATGTTTTGGTGGATTTCAGATTGTTTTGATTATCACATTTGCCTGATGCCTTTAGGATGTATTTCAGTAGCAACATGTATTCTTGTGGTCTTTAACTGTGAACTGTTTTTCATCTCATGTAAGGGGGGTTGTCTTTGGGATGAGAAATATTTTATACACTCGTTTGATACACCTCTTTCCTCCATTTTTAGCAGTCTCAATCTTGTTCCCCATTTTTTATTCTGGCTTGTTGTGGATCTTTGCTTTCTTAGCATATACCCTTTTTCAGGCAGTAGTCATGTGGTATTCTCAGGAGCACTGATTTCCCTTAGAGTAATCAGGTAGGAGCTACAGAATAACAGGAGGCTTACCAGAAAATATTTTGCAGAGTGAAATGTGAATTCCCCGATCTTGATTAAGATCAACAATAAACAAGAGACTGGAAAGAAGTTAAACACATTACACAATCTGAATTTCAAACAACAGCCATCAAAGTTGAAAAACAAAGAAATAGTTGTATCATTTTGATGCTTTCACTGGAGACCTATAAAATCAAGTATCTTTCCCTTATCATCTCTCATATATTAAGTCTCAATCTTTTAAAATTTTAGTCTTTTAGGTTTTGTTCCAAACTGCAAAAATGTGGGATTGTATATAAAAAACAACAATTTTATTCATCTTAGGATGTAAGTGCTATCCATGATTGGTGGTCACTCAACAAAAAAAAAAGCAATGTTGTATCCTTGAGCATTATGTGACTTTCCACTTAATAGGAACTTTTCCCATGAAAAAATCTGACACTCTATTTGAATGACCCAATTTAGTAGTTAACTAGGGTAGTTGGAACTTAGTGGCTACTTAAGTACACATACACATTATGTAGACAAATTTTGAAAATTGTATATTAAATAAGGAGTAGGAAACAGAGCAGAAACCACAAATTTAGTAAAATTTTCTCTTTATTTGGCAACTCTGATTTTTAGTTCAGCTTTCTTTCATAATTCATGTGTTTTCTTTTTTATCATTTTGGCTCTGTTTTGTGTCATGTAATTTTTTCGTTGTTTTTGATGTTATATGGGTCCTATACTCATCTATATACATGTTTCCTCCTCAATATTTCTTTTTCAGGGATCATCTTACCAGACCATTTGTGAAAAATTTTCCTAGTATTTTTTGAAGTTATGATGCAATTCTGAGATTAATGGCACAGTTTGTATACTGGAAATTAATGTGTGTGTGTGTGTGTATATGTGTGTATGTATATTTTATTTTAAAGGTGAGCTTGATTATTAATGTATATCATAAAAATATTTTGGGTATTTTGATGTAGAAAAGGTTTAATTTTTTTAAAGTTTATTTCTGAATTTTCAGTCTAATGGGGAAAGTATACAGAGTTATTTTATATCTGTTTTTTGTGATTTACCAGTAAGGTCCTATAAAATGGCAAACCCATGCTTCAGTCTCAGTGTAATTAGCATTATTTTTTTATCTCTAATTGTGGATAACTGCAAAAAGTTTGACTGAGGTTATTTGTCTTTTGATATCAAAACATTTAGATTATTAAGAAAATATTTTTTAACTTCTTACTATTCAACAGTTCTTCTAGCTGTGAATATTTCATCTGTGTAAAGTTTGAAATTGACTTCTAATTCTGTTCATACATTGATTCTGTCATTTTGTTGATTTTTTTTCTTCTGTTATTAATTTTTCAGGCAGAAATGGATGCATACTCATCGTATTGGACTAGTCTTACAACATGATGAGCCTTTACCCAAGAATGTTCATCTTCCCAATTCTAGTGGTCGATATGGTCAGGTCCAAAGTCGTCAAGCGCTGACATTGGTGGATGCACTTTTACGTGACCACAGTTCTTTTGTACTGATTGAAAATCATTCCTACATTAAGTTTTTGTTTGGGTTAGTGATTTTGTTTTTAATTAGTGTGTTAACCCTAGCGCAACAGGTCAGTCTTCCTAAAAATGGATTCATCAGTATAAGAAATTGTTTTTTAAAAAGTAGAATAAGCTACAATGGGAAGCTGTAGAGAAATAGTGTCGTATATAAAATTTTGAGTTTTTAATGATCAAGAGAATGCGCTTCTGACTTTTGAACATTCATACATGTATGTGATATATCAGAATTATACACAGATGTTACTTAGCAGATCAACACAGTCAAAATGATTATCAATAAATAATTATATATATGGGATGAAGTGTATAGTGACGTTGTGTTTGAGATGCTGGAAATTTCTGGAAAGTTTGTATAATAACACAGACCTGCAATGGTTTATCGTCTTGATAACACAGGCCTGCGAAGGTTTTATTGTCTTGATAACACAGGCCTGAGATGGTTTTATTGTCTTGATAACACAGACCTGCGATGGTTTTATCAGCTTGAAATTTTTACATGTTCTACGGTAATTCCTGTACGCTGAATCTGAAAATATAAATTTTTCTCCATTACGTACAGATTTTTCACAAAATGTCATAATGCAATATATAAAAGAAAGACCACAACACATAGATTTCACACAAAAAAATTAGAATGAATGAGGATGCATATTCATTTCATCAGTGTTCTTCCCTTTTCTTCAGTTTGTTTGTATTTTTGTTAACTAACATAATAAAAAAATTTTCATTGTGATAAACGAAATAATAATTTGATTGTAGTAAGTTTTTTTCTTCCCGATTTGTTAAAAAAAAATCCTTGTGCGATAGAAAAAAATTAATATTATTTTCGAAATCAGCATAGCTAAATTATGGAAAATCCATTATTAAAACCAAAACAACTTTTATGAAGTTTAAATTCGCAGGCCTGTGTAACCAGTGAGCCACAGAAATAGATAATTGTCTACAATCAGAATTTTTACCATGTTTGCAATAATTAAGTTTCAAATTCAGGGTGTTTTTGCAAGTAAATGCTTTTTGGCTTCTTCATGTACAAATCTACAACTATCAAATGAAGAAATAAGGCTTGGGCTATCATATTTTGTTTGTATTTTATCTAATAAGACTAATTGTAGAAAGTATGTTTATATGAAAAGATTTAGTTGGTAATAGAAAAAACAATATTCTGGTTAAAATGTAGACTTGTCTCAAAATATAATCACAATTTTTCTGTTTAAAATATTTCTTAAATGTAATTTTATTAAGTAAGAAAATTTATAATGAAAAGAAAATTTGAAGTGGTAATGGGAAGCTGCAGAACAGAGCCTCACACTAAAAAAAACATTTTCATAGAAAAGGTTTTTTTTATGTGATTGATGTTTAACAAGTTAATTTACACCATAAGAAAGCCTTTAGTTGACTGTTAAAATATGTTTCCAAAGAATTAAAGACTACTGTGGAAATGTTTTCCACTTCTAGATTTGTACATGATGATAGTACACTGTTTAATAACTTTATCTATACATTTTACATTATTCTTATTTTATTATTTGAGAGTGCAAAAGTTTTAAATTCAAATATTTACTTATGGAAATGATTTGTTATATCTCCAAAGTGAGTTGGAGAAACCCCCAACATCTTTCTACATTATCAGAGTTATATCAAAGGCATCTTGCATGGTCATAAGGCTAGCCTTTCTTGGAGGGACTCCTGGTTATAAAAGAAACATGGTAAGAACATTTTTATGCAGTTCTTGCATATTGGAAGATCTTACGAATATTTTTTACATAGTAACAGAATAGATTGTAAGAAAGGTTTTCACACAGTTTCTAAGGGTGTGAATAGAGTGAATTTTGTATATGTTAGTAGTATTTTATACGCTTGAAGTAAATATTAAGAATGTTGCTACACATATATTGTAAAATTGGGAAGCTTATAATTATGTTTATCCTAGTTGATATCTTTATACATGTCCTGTATCTATACTCAAATCAAGGTGTTTCAGTTATATTACAATTTACAATATCTTATACTATTAAATATTATATTCTTCTTCAGTTGCATTTATTCTGTCTTTAGTCTGTTCTAAGTGTCTAGATGATTCAATTCCAGATGTTTCTTTTTTGAAGGTAATTTTTTTTATACATTTACAAAATTCACAGTAAAACTTGCATAGAGCATATTAAATAGATTTTCAAAAATAACACATATTCTTAGTATTAGCTTTTTTTTATTGAATACTAAACACAGTAGTGCAGTGATTGCGTATGTCCTTCATTCTGTACCGTTAGTACTGAAAAGACCATCGGTGAGGTTGTTGTTATCAGATGAAACTGATATTGGGTAATTTACAAATTTTTTTTTTTTAAGTTATAAAATGTGTACTTAAAAAAACATCAATTTCGTCATGAGCTGAACAATTATCTGTATTTTAGATTGTAAATGAACTTCAAGATAAGCTCTTGAACCTCAAATTTCCCAAACGTGGAAGAAACAAGGAAGTACAAGTACAGACAGTTGAGAGAGAGGATTCATTAAGAACTGGCCACTCATCGGAAGCTCTCACTCAGTCTAAAAGTTGTTGTGTATTATTAAGGAAACCAGTGGAGAAAATTTTAATCAGGTATCATAAACTTAATAGCTCATAAGCTCATTAAATTAAAAGTTTGGAGATGGCTTGACTGGGTAGTGAAGAAAGCTTTACTATAAACGTACGACATTCTGACATAAGCTTGTCAAAGTGTCGTACATTTATGATAAAGGTTTCTTCATTACCCAGTGATGCTGTCTCAACTTTTATTTTCTATAAGTGTGTTCCTCATTATCAAAGCTAACTAAAGTATTTCATCATGTTTTAAAAAAATCAAGTCTTCATGATATACTTTTAATGAATTAGGTTACTAAGCTGGTGTGTATTGGGATGATGAATGATGATAAGATTTTTTTTTTGCTTCTGTCAGAATGCTGTTTATGTTAAAATTATATTATATCATGCCACTATCTTGAATAGTATATATATTTTTATATTATTAAAAAAGACAAGAAATTCGTAAAACGAAATGAGTGCCAGATTACAGTAATTTGTTCAATTAACTGTTATATTAGCTGTTCTTTTTTATTTTTTAAAGAGAAAAGCAAATTAAAAAAACAACAACCATATTAAAGTCGAAAAATTAAAAACTCTTGGAAGAAAACTATACTTCACTGTAAAATTAATATGGGGTCAGTTCCAAGGACCGATTATGGGACCATTTTTACTTGTATATAGTTAGAATATATTTTGTGCTTGATAGATACTTAATTTTGATTTTGAAATGTTTCATTCTTAGATATGAACGTATGCCATCAGATTTCCTCAGCTCTATTCCATCATCATTATTAACCAACCATGGGACGAGAAAGCAAGGAGTGTCCATACCAGAACAAGCTGTTACAAACATTTTGACTACACTAAGTCGTTATTTACATCATCATCGCTGGATTTGGACAGTTCAGAATAGTCCTAGCACCCCATTGCCCTTAGCTGCAGTTGCAAGGATTCTATCCACATTGACAAAGTGAGGTTTTTGGAGTCAGTTTTTCAGACTATGTTTCTGATTCCTTGCACATTTGTGTATAAAAGTGAAAAAGTAAGCCAAAAATATAAAGAATAGACAGATAAAAATAGTGTAGATACTACAGTGTGGGAAAGGTAAAAGGTACTGTAGTAATATGTTTCAGCAGAAATAGGACCTACACAGTGATGGGGTACATCTTCTTTCAGGTTAAACTTCTCTTTGCAATAATTTATTTGATGAACTCACTTTTTTTTTGTGAAGAGAGTGGTATTTAGTACTTAAAAAAGTAGTCCTACTTTGTACAATAACCACTTTTTAACAGTTTATGTTAAAGAAGTATAAAATTTATTGTAACTTACTTGTTATAATGTTGTCATCACTCAGGCAAAGCATACTTTTTTATAGCCTTCAATCTTATTTGGTTACAGATCCATCAAATAGAAAATCAGACTCCTCTTGCCATCTGTCACATCCTATTCTTTGAAATTTGCAAATAGTTCTTTCTGACATTTAATATTATATTATATTAACCAATAGGCAGCCAAGGTTTTAATCTATCAAATGATGTATTATATTATGTTGTTTTCTGTACAGAGAATTGTCTATTTCACTTCCAGTTAAAACTTTATTCCCACTGGAAACAAATCAATGAAATTAGCTGAATTTTTAATGGCCCTTGACTGATAGTTAGAAAGCCAGAAAAATTGTGATAGTTATAGGACATTTCTGCTTTTTGCATGTGATTATTCTATATCATTTGATGCATTATTTAATTGAATAAACAATTTAGTGCAGTAGTACCATTAATACAAAAAGGTAGAGTTAAATGTAATTGACAGTTGACAGCAAAAAAAAAAAGATCCAGGTAAGTACTTTACTTTTAGTTATTCGTGTGTTTTCTTTAACTTACTATTATAAAAGTAACTAAAATGTAAAAATTAGAAACGTTTTAGGTTAGATGAAGTTAGATTAGGTAAAATAAAAAAATAATAATAAAAAACATTTTTATGAGGTATGCTTTTTAGCAACTTGTGAGTAACTTGTACATTATGTATTTCGATAGAGTAACGTGAGATGCACGTTTGCTAAGTAATTTACAAATTTATTGTGAGAATGTCAGTTAGTCATGGTTCAAAGGGCAATAAAATAAAATTTAAGTATAAACAGATGTATACTGTTAGGAGTTTAAAGCTATTTAGGATAAACAAATGTAGTTTCATGTTACAATTTGAAGTCATTCTAGAAAGTATTAGGTCGGCACGAAATTAATGTCCCATTTTGGAACACTTTCATTAATCACCTGCCAAAAACTTACATCATGTATAATAGTTAAAAGAAAACTTATAACTAATGTTGCATAGGTTGTGTCCATTGTAGTTCACTTTACACTACCTTTACTGTTTCTAAAAATTTTTGTACTAAAAGTAGAAAAAGCTACTAGTCAGAATGAGTAAAATAGTGTGTAACACAAATTTTAAAGGAATTCTGTCACGTATATCTTTAGGAAAATGTTCAAAGAACTATTTATAAGTGCTGTTAAACCCAAATGATGATTACTATTAGTATACAAGGAAACAGGATGAAAAGAGACTTAGGTGGCCTAATGGTAAATTTTCTCTGGAAGTTTGGTTAAAAAGTCTTGGTTAACTTGTGTAAAACTTTTTACTTCCTGAATAAAAGATCATAAAATTTAGATATATGAACTTAATCTATTAGTTGAGTAGTTAACATCTTGAATATTTTATAATTTCTTCAGGAGAAGACTGCAAGAAAGGTTTCACTTTGGACACTCCTGCTCTGGAATAATTAACATGGTGACTGAGCTGGATATGCAGGTATATACTTTGAATGCCTCTTGAAAATATGAGTTCTCAAATTCATAAATATTTTAGCTTGCACATTCATAATATATTAACTCTTTGATACCTGAATGGATGTAGCCTGCCTGACTAAAATTGTATTATTGAATAAAAGGTAATAGTATATAAACTAAAACTTGTAGCCATTTTTCCACATATATATATATATATATATATATATATATATATATATAAAACAGAGCTGAAATTTATCCAGTAAGAAAAGATTTATTTATACAATTTCATACATAACAATTACAAAAAAAACAGCAATTCAGCTTTTGGATGATTTTTTGGTATGCTCCCACACAAAAAAAAATGTGTTTGAGAATTTCCTGAATGCTTCTGATTCTGATATTATACTTGTAATCAGCTAGGAAGAAAGTCATAATAGATTTCAAAACAATAAAACTAATTTTTTCTTTTGACTTAAATACAAGTGTAATTTTATCAGTTTTAGCCAATCACTCTGTGTCAGCTTTTGTTATTATGGTGTAGTGTAATTGTCTATATCTAAGCTTTGAGAGACCATGGGCTACTGATCGAACCGTGTCACAAAAGCTCTTATTCTTTGTTTATTTGATCTGTAACAGCATAATGCTTCAACTTCAGTGGTGGTTTGCATAGAGGTCAGAATAAACTGATAAAGGCTTAGCTTGGTTATATGTTGCTAGAAGAAAATTCTTGTGAACAACTTTCACTACAAGTATAATCCTGATATGTTTTAAAACTTAATGATGAGGTATGGTAGGAAAATAATTGTTTTTTTTCCAGAACAAGATGAGGTAGGCTTAGTTAAATCATTCACCGACGCATTCACAGTGTTAGGCCTTGTTTGCATTATGCCATATTGATCTAAGTAGCTGCTTGAATGGAGAAAGAAAATCACTGAAAGAAAATGTAGAAACAAACATTTCAATGAATTTAAAATGGGTTTGAAGCTTGTTACATATATTAAATTTAACCTTCTGATTAGCAATAAACAATAATTGACTTGCTTATAATTTTGTCATGGTAAAAGCTCTTTTTACTGTATGCCAAGTAATGTAAAAATTGTGAAACTGCAAAATTGCGTGTTTACTTTCTGAATCAAAACAAAAATAAAATTTACAGTTTTATAAAATAAGTACTTTACAAGAATGTAGGAAAACATGACAATCGGTAATAAAAATCTACAACAAAGGTAAGCATTTTTAATTGTTTTTGAAAAAATGTATCAGAATGAAATATTTTCAAAATCCCAAAGTTGTGAATTCATAGATGTGTGTGTGTATGTATATATATGAAAATAAGAGATTTTAATTGTAGAATCTACAGAATTTGTACAAAATGACTTTGAAGTTTAAAACGTTTTCATCCAATAGTCTATTTTCACAATGCAGTTTAAAAAATCATAGAACAGATGCACCAATTCAGTGCACCCAGTTTTCAAAGTGTTAAATTAAAACTAATAAATAATTGTTGAAGACTGAAAGTTTTGGCATTATTAATGTAAGTTAAAAGAAGTTTGAAATGAGTGTATTATCAAAATGTACATCATGTGCATGTTAATTTTTTGTAATCATTCACCACAGGTAGAAGATATTTTCTGAAACTTAATTAGTTAAAAAATTCTGGTATTTAAACAAACACTTGTTGTATGTGTTCTTTAAAAATCTGATAAGTAAAGCTTGTTTAAAATGTTCTTTCATGTATTTTTATTCAATATAGATATTTTGATTGGGAAAAACTAAATTTTGAACAATTTTATTTTCCTTTTCTAAGATTTTTTTCATCATTTTGAGCTATATTTTGATCAGAGATTTTGAAGATTGACTGACAGAATAGTCAAGTCTTTAAAACTGGTAATAATAAGAAAGCAAACTCTTGGGCAGAATACCAGTGTATGTATATTACAGAATTAAAACTTTTCCTGTGGAAAGTTTAGATCCTTGAAATTGTGTACATGCAGTATGAAGTTGTTTTCTATGATAAGAGTGATCTGATTTTATTTTTATAACTTTCTATCATTATTCTTTATATATTTTCTGTATGGAAAAAATTTGGCAGAAAATTAAATTGAACTGATAACAAATAAGTTACTTGTTTGCATTGGTAATACAATTTAAGAATTTATCTGAAGTTTTATCTATTGATGGTTGGCTTCTTTCACATAGTTTTATTGGTAGGAAACCGTAGGTCACGGGTTAAAAAAATTTCCTTAACGCATAATTCTTTCAGTCCTGGTTGTTTTGATTTTGAAGTCATTAAGTGTGATTAGATTGTCACAATAGCCATACACTTGAAATATATTTTAAATTTGATCAGCATTTACCTTCATATTCATGACAGTTGTGCTTAATGACTTCACAAGAACTTTGCATAATGGAAAACGTTTTTCTTATCTGTGGGCTAAAGCCCTTTTCTCAATGAAAGGAGCAATAAAAGAAATAAATAATGGTCTTGACAGGAATTTGGGACTTAATACCTGGGGTGTTTGATTATTAGGCAATTGTCGTTTTGCCTGACATGTGATATAAAGAATTTATTGGGATGAGAAGTAAAAAAAAAATAATTAAAAATCAGTAATAAATAAAATAATTTTGAAAAATAATATTTCTTATGTACATATATATACATACACGTGGATGCACATACATATATATATACACATGCATACATGTGGCTGCTCATACATGTATAAATGTTTAAGATGATACTAAATGGATATGGTGTGTCTGGATGGATAAAAGAGAGAATTCAATGATGATGTCTAGTAGATGAGTAAAGAAATATAAACAAAAATATGGCAGGTATCTATAAATTCAGTGGCAAAGAATTTGATGTGTGTGTGTGTGTATGTGAGGGGGGAGGGAAATATTTCAAGAAAACCCATTTTCACTGGGCAGGCACTATGAAAAAAAACAAACCTATTCAGTGCCCAAGCTGGAACCTGGAATGAAAAAGGCTGAATAGATCATTAAAATCTGAAAAGAGAAAGGTGGAAAAAGAACAAATGTGCATTAAAATTTCTCATTAAACTTTAAGGAACATTGCCCTGAAGTCATCCTTCAGTGATGACACTCCAAATGGCAAGTTCTTGAATTATATTACTATTGTATAATTAAACTATATTTTTGGCATCTCTTGATGATTATCTGTAAAGGGCTTTTTTTTTGTCATAAAACACAATGGTCAAAGATTGGATTAATTAAAAATAATATTCTTGATTGGGATTTAGAAGTGATTTTATATTGATACCTTCATTAAAACATACTTTTTTTGGAATAACAAAACACTAAGTGTTTTATTATGGAGAATTTTTGAAAATTCTTTTGTGGGATACCATGGTCAGTGATTTGTTTTTTTGTGTTTTTTTAGTTTTCATTTTTTTTTTTAAATAAAAGTAAACAGTATTTGCATTTAGTCAAATAGGTTGAATTTTAAAGAGAATGAAATACTTAAGAGTTGTTAAAACTTTCTCTACAGTTATGAAAAAATAAAAAAAATCAATGCTAGACAGAGTCTTTAAATTTATTTTGTAGTAGAACATGGTTGGTCTCTAAGTTTGATAAACTAGGCTAGAAGATACATGTTACAGATGTGTTTATAAGTTTGTGGCTCCATCTTGTTTCATCTAAAAATTAGAGTGAAGACCATGTCTTGAGAGAAACTGACACACAAGTGCACATCAACAGTGATGTGGAAAAAGAGACTCATCCTTGCGTTGTCCAATACATTCTTTTTCCACCTTACTCCAACACTAAACTCGTAGATAGGTAAGCTTCAATAACTTAAATTTCTTCAGTTACTTTTTTAAACTTAAAAGGGTGAAGCAATTGTAAAATTCCCTCAAAAACATCCAATTGCTTCAACTTGCTAAATGTTTACACGCATGTTGTCAAACAAACCTTCATTTTACTTAGTTACTCATAGTTTCTAGTGGTAAAATACTTTATTTTTATTAATGTATTGGACACATCATTTTTTTTCTGCAAGCGAGCAACTTGCCAACGTGTGAGCTGTTTGATACTCAAGTCATTATTACCTACTTTTTGTACTGTTTTGCCATTGCTAATAATATTAATATTAACATTAATATTTTATCCTTAAAAAAGTCTTATTTTTATTTTATACACTAATGATTTACTTTTAAGTAATTTCATTTTATTGTTGTTGCAAAACAAATTGTATTTTATGGACAACTTCTTGAGGTTTGGATCACAAAACCTACAATAACAGCAGTGTATTGACTTAGCTATACAACAGATGTTGTCACAATTACATGGTGAAATAATTTTGATACATTTCATTTTGTCTTTTTTGTTAAAAAGTGTTGAAATTATTTTTTTACGTTAGTATTTCAGATGATGAAGATGGAGAAATTGAGATGGCAGAAGCTGATGGAGAACTTCAGCTGATTACAGAATGTTGGGTTGAGCCACAACATGGAGTTGTGACAATTCAACTTCCATACTGTAACTTTCTTCAAGGACTGAACTACCATAAACTAGTCAATGCAGTAAGATAATAATAATTATTATTATTATTAAGTTTTAAAAACAAAAAAAAAATCCTGGCTCAGTGTGCTTAGCATTTTATTTTCGTTTGATAAGAAAATCAACTATACTAGGCCTAAAGTTAATACACAAATTTGAGTTTGTAGCATGCATAAAAGTCAAGATAACACTAAAAGAAAATGTTAATGTTGTTCTAATTTTCTTTTATTTCAAAACTTGAATATGCTGTAGATGTATGTTCCTTGTTGTTAATAAGTTTTAAGTTGACCATCAATATGAATATATAAGCCAATGTAGAGTTCAGAGCCATTATATTGTTGCCAGGCTAGGTCAAGTGATAAGCCTTGGATTTTCAAATTAATTGCACATACTTCTCATAATGTAAATCATTTTATTGGCTGTTCTGGTATGAAAGTTTTAGTTAATCATACTTAAGTGTAAGCATATTTTGACATGAATTATTCATAGAAGGTAAGTATCACCCAAAGTGAAAGAAAGAGGTCACGTAGTGGCTAAACTATTTTTATTAGTTTTATATTGCTATTTTTCTATTGATAATTATTATATCATTGTCATTTTCACCCAGTCAGAGAGAGATCAAAGTTCTTCTGTCCTTGTTGTCAGACTTGGTCAGGTGACAGAGCTTGAATCTTTGCATAAAAGAAGACCCTCAAATCACAGTGTCACAGTTATTGTGTTGATTCTGTTTCCAGACTTGATAAGGTTATATGGTAAATGTTTTTGGGTTAGTTTGTATTTTCTGTCAATACTAATGACACTGTAGTATTACTGGTTTTTACTGTATTTTAAATTGTCTCAAATTGTTTGTCACTTGGTTAATCCATTGATATCTACACCAGTTTACATATGTAATTCCCATTGCTTTGTGTGTAGAATACTGCTGTCTGCTTGTTTTACAAACTATGGAATGGGCAGCAGAGTTTTGTTATTTTGGGGCTGATGCTAAAAAAATTCATTGTCTCTGAGGTTGCATTTTGTTTGTCATCATCTAAAACTTTTCTTACCATTCATCAAATTGTTATTTTTTTAAAACTGAATTTCTCTAGTAGTAATTTTTTTAAAATATAAGACTGTAGAAAAATGAATTACCTCAGTACTTACTATACTAAACAATAATATAATATGCACTCACAAAATAATTTAATCAATATTATCTAAACTAAACAGTCTATTTATATTATGGCACAGATTAATTTCCTTAAATCCATTTAAGGTAAAAGCATAATTAACTTTCATATAACTACATTTCCAGAAAGGATTTATCACTTTAAAGATGGGAATTTTAATGTATAAACAATTTATTTTCCTCATATATTCACCCACTGTTTTGAAATCCATATACCAGTATAAAAACGTATGAGAATATACATAAAAAGCTTAATTTATTTCTTTAATCATGTTTGACTTTATACATAAGCTGTTAACTTTCAGAAAGTTCTTGCTTTATCCACCAATAAGCTTTGAATCTCTGCTGACCCAGATCTAGTCTTGAAGAATTGAACAGAACTTCAAAGTTTTTTATTTTGCACCATACTTACAAACGTTTTACTGTCTTAAACATTTTTCAAGATAAATTATTTTTGTTAATTTTGAATTCTCTTTGGTTTTACAAATTTTTAATCATTTTTAATTGTGACTTCACGTTGTAGTTCTCTAGTTAACTTCTGTACTTTCTGACTAAAGAAAAAACAACAAACTCTTGACATATCTGACCTCTGCATTGAGTCTTTGTGAATTTAAAACATAAGCCTTAGTACTAACCTTTGCATTTGGATGGTTGATGTTCCTTCTTGGTTCAGTGTTGTGCTATTGTGGAGCTCTAGTATTAAGTTGTGCAGTAGATAAAAGCTTGTTTGTGTTTATTTGTATACCTCAAAGAAATTAAATTTCAACTTATCTCATTTTTAGCTAAAGCAAAGTGATACATGTTATTAAAATCTACTTATGTCATTATCACTTTTTTTCTGTTGAACAAATATTTTTAAAGCATTGAGTTTCTAAGCAAAAGTTTTAGGAAAATTTAATAACAGTAATAGAAAAAGAAAATATCTGACTAACCTTTGTAGTATAATAATCATATACATGTATACTGTGTACATTTTCTTTTTATTTATTTCAATATCTATATTTTTATTTTACAAATAGCACAAGTGTCATGGTGTCTGTTATCACTACTTTTCAGTTAATATCTGTTTTACTGGAAATATTTTGATGTGGTTGATCCTCTTCTTCTTTTCCTATACTTCTAAAGATTACTGTGTTCATAATTATAGGAAATTTTATGTGTAAGTAACTTAACTAATTGCAATGGAATACACAATGAAGACTTGATCATTTTGTAACAATTTGTTGTTGTAGATTTTCTCCAAAATAATTTCCTGAATTCACTTAATATGTCATGGCAGTGATTAACTACAGTTAATTAAAACTTGTAAAAATCCTATTAGTTTTGTTGAGCTTGGTAAATAATTATTGGAAACTTTGTAGTATTGATAAACAACATGCAGTGATTGATTTTTGTTCCAAACTAGTTTACAACCAGCCACTGCGTGATCATATCAGTATAAAGCAATATAAACCATAGCATTTGGTATTGCAGAAAAAGTATTGTAAACTGTAATAATGTCATAATGATAATTTTCTGTAATTGTAGTCAGTATGAATTAAGATATTGTTTTGTTCATAATGTGTCTTAACTCTTTAAACACATAATTTTTTATGCATTCTGTCAGAATTATGTTCATGATGTCCTAATAATTATCACCATACCTTATAAAATTTTCAGTATATTTATAAAAAGTAGATAAAACATGGTTTGGATTAGCTTTCAGCCAAAGTGACAAATGTTATCGGCTGCTGTCACTGTCTGATGAGTAAATCTGAATTTTTGACTTGATGCTGGCAGTGTCTGCTTGGGTTTAAAGAATTAATTAGCATTAATGATTAGCCTTCCCAACTAATTTCTGTTAATCCACCTTGGGCTTAGTTTACACTGTATGTATTTTATCATCTACAAATACTACTTTGTCTTCAAAAAATGTAATTTATTTTGTCTTTTCAGCTTGCTTGGATTATTATTATTAATGATGGATTCTTAAATTTTGTAGGTGTTATGTGCTCTTAAGATAAATTTTTGTCTGTTCAGTTTCATTTAGTAGATCTGGAGTGCATCTCAGCCTTGGTTACTTTTGAACATTTGTGCTTGATGTGCCAGAATATGAAAGTTCCTTCTCCAAGGTCGGGACCTCTCGGAATGAATTCTTCAACTTGTTCGAGTAAAGCAGACCAACAACAGTCCATTCTCTCAGCAGCAAGGTCCACTCCAGATGTTATGTTATCCCAGATTTCAATCTTAAACCACAAACCTGAACCAACTATTACACAGGTGCCCTTTAGTTTTGACTTGCTTAATTTACTTCCCAAATGTCAGCAAGCAGAACTTCTGTTTTCCACACTTATTCAAGGTAGGTTTTAAGTTTTTAAGAATGTAATTTAATTGATTGATTGTTTTAATGCATTTTGGTCTACCGAGTTCTTTTATTATTTTATGTCCTGTTTCCATTTCTGATCTGGGCTCGGCATGGCCAGGTAGTTAGGGCGCTCAACTCACAGTCTGAGGGTCGTGGGTTCGAATCCCTGTCCCACCAAACATGCACTCCCTTTTGGCCATGGGGGCGTTATAATATGACAGTCAATCCCACTATTTGTTGGTAAAAGAGTAGCCCAAGAGTTGGCGGTGGGTGGTGATGACTAGCTGCCTTCCCTCTAGTCTTACACTGCTAAATTAGGGACGGCTAGCAAAGATAACTCTCATGTAGCTTTGTGCGAAATTCAAAACAAACAAACTTAATTTCTGATCTGCGCAATACAGAATAAATGTTTAATGCAAATGATAATTTGTTTGTCTGTTACTAAGTTATGCAAGGTACTCAACAGTTTGTATTTGTTTCAATTGCATTTTGAAATATATATGTTTAGATATTAGTGTTTAAAAATGACAGTTAAGTATCTTGAGTATTTTTTATATGTTTTCAAAGAAGATTGATTTCTTAAATTATTTTTAAGTTTAAGTAACTATACCAAAATCTTTTTAGTCAAGATTGTCAGCATAAGAAATAACATAAGAAATATGGTAACCTAAATTATTTGCTTTCATTATAGTAGGTTTGCCATTTTTTTTTCCTTTGACTTGAATGATTATCAGAAAAGCTTTGGGAGTAGATTCATTCAGTCAAGATTGGAGGGGTCTTCACCTTCATGCCTACTCTCCGATTAGACTCCTGTCCAGAGTCTTTTCCCCTATTCAGACAACTCCTTGTCGTTTCCTGCTTGTTACTTTGTATTGGTCTGCTCCGATGTGGTTCCTTCTGCTTTGGCCCTTACTGGAGCAACATCTTCTAGTCTAACTTTGTCCCAATCTCTCCTCTGACAACTGCAATTGGACATAGTTCATTCCAATATCACCAAACTCCATCTTCGCACATGGCTTTTGTTCAGTCCCTTGCCTCCGCTCAGGGTACTTTTGGTACCTCATCTTTCCCAGTTTTTTGTCTGGTTGTTTGATCAGGGTTTGTCTGTATCAACTGTTTCTTTTTACAGGGTTGCCTTGTTGAACACCTTCTGATTTTTCTGCTTCCAGAAAGCTTTCTCCTCCTCTGTTATTTCCATTCTTTTCTGCTCCTTTCCTCTTGTTCATCCTTTATGTCTGTTTGGTTTGTCATATTGGATATCAATTTTGTCCTTCATGCCATGTCCAGTTCTCCATTTGAATCCATTGCTACATGTTCCTCATACCATCTTTCCCTTAAGTCCTCTTCCTCCTCCTCCTCCTTGTTTGTGGTAATCATTTTTCCAATATTTATGCCATTGATGTTTCCCGCACCCTTTACCATTCCTTTTATGTTATCTTCTATCCTGATTGAGCCTTCCTTTCCAAGACATCTGCTGCCCAAATAGGTGGTTTGGCCTTTTCTCCTATTTCATTACCTTCCGTTTCCCACATTTACTCGTGTTTGGTTCTGGATAGAGTTTTTTTTGTCCAGTTTGTTCCCTGATATGTTATGTGTTCCATAATGCCTTCTTTCATGTTATTTTTCCTGTCTATTTGTTTCAAGGATTCCTTCTGTGTCTCCTATTGCACTCACTGGTTAGGTTTGTCAACTCATATGACTGTTTTATTTTGACTTGTCCATGAAAGGTCGCTGTCTGCACAATGTTTCTTCTCACCCCATTTGTCATCAAATTATATCTTTATCTGCTCGCCTTCCCCGGCCTTTGGAGGAAATCATTCAGGCTGGGATATGCACTACTTCCAATATATTTGTTGCACATTATCTGGCTGTGTCTTCCTCGTGCAGGTATCGTCTGCCTCCCATGACGATTCTACACGTCTGTTCACCTTTGACTGCAGTAAGTCAACATATTACTTTTCGTTTATATTCTTAGTTGATATATATCATATTTCAGGATCCCACCTGGTCAGGTATGCTTCTTATTTTCACTAGATATGAATAATTCTATAATGCTCACTGTTGAGATGGAATGTTTCCATAAGACCACTGGCAGCTTTTCTAGTGGTATGTATATCTATATATTTTTTTACTAAAAGTTACTAGTTTCATTTATAAAGGACTATCACTCATGGACCTCATGAGTAAAGCAGATGTGGATTTCTGCCCATCCCTACTGACCCATGATTCCCACAATCAGGGTTTATCTGCTTTTCAAAATAGGGAATTGCAGACACCCATTGCACTGTTTCTGGTGTGTTGTTCCTCTGGACTCCTAACTGCGTATTTCCCTCCTTTTTCCTTCTAGTGGAGTATGGGAGTCCTTACCACTTCCGGTTCCCAGTCGCTGGAGTGGTGGATCGCAGAGGTTTCCTTCAGAGTGGTTTTTGAAAAACAAAACTTTCTAGCTCACGTATATCCACTTGGTAAGAAGAGGGCTATAGTTATTATAATGATTACAGTACTGAATAATGAATTATACAGTAATATTCAGTATCCAACATGTTTCCCCTGGATGTTTTTGTTTGGGCAGACAGCACTAATTGATTAAATATTTCTTATCCCAAGGTGCTTCCCTTGGATGTTTTTGACTGGGTGGGCTGCACTTGGCCTATTCAAATACATTCGATGCTCCTTAAGCCCTAGCCACATCTTGTTATTTTGTTTTTCTCTGTAGCTCATTTACTGACACTGTAACTCACTATCACTCTGTTTGGTACTATATCTTGTTTCTTACAATGTCTTGTTATGACATGGATGTGGACAGAGGGCTAGTTATGATGACCTTCACAATCAAATTCATAACAGTAATTTATATATTTCATAATCCTACGTATCCAAGGCACTTCTCCTGGATGTTTTTATTGATCATTATATCTTATGCGAGGTGTTTCCACTAGATGTTTTGCCCGGATGGACCACACTTGCCGTAATCTAATGTAACCCAAGACACTTCCTTTGGCATGTACATATAAGGGAAAGTGGTTGTATACTCACAAGCCTTTCTATTTTTGTCCACTCCGTACTGATTCATGTCATAGTTATCCAGCACTTCCTAAACTGATTCAGTGCTGTACATCTCCTTATTGACTCCAGTTGTGCCTGTCAATTAATTTCTGACTAAATTGTGTCACTGTATTTATTGCTGGGTTGAAGAGCATACCTGTTCTAGCTTTGAGTGAGAGGAGGTGATATCGTTTCGGAAGTTAATATTTTCTTACTCTGAAAATGTATTTCTGATAGGTAGTTACCTTCTCTCACCCACTTTCCACCCTTCCTCCTCACTGAGATGCTGGGGTTTATGGATTGTGCCTTCCAATTCTTGAAAGTGAGGATTGTTCTAGAGTAGTAGAGGGAACTAGCTGTGCCAGTATAGATGACACAGTGCGATTGGTGGAGAGTAGCCACATGATCAGCACATGTTCTGAAATGGTGCAAAACTGATGGGGTATAAAGACTGGTGCACTGTACCAAAATTTGTTTTAGCAATGCTTAGAAGGCAGACCAGGATTGAGATAGCTTTGGGTGAGAGGAGGTGAGTACCTATCAGAAGTACGTTTTCAGAGTAAGAAAATGTTAACCTTCAGATCTCATGTGACAATTTTTACAGTGTTCTTCATATGATATAGTTGAAGATAGTCAAATCCTACTTGCTGATAAAGAAGTTGGTCAATTAAGACATGATTTGTACACTTTACCAATTTTTCTCATCTTTGATTCTTTTGGTTTGTCACCAACAGTTTGTATTCACATTAATTTCAAGTGATAAGTGATTTCCCTTTCAAATATATTGTTGATAAATTCTGACAGAGAGTGTCTTTGAATAAGTGGCTAGAAAAATACATGTTTAATATCAATGATCTTGTTCCCTTTGTTCTCCTGAAGAAGAATAGTCACTTATTCGAAAGTGCTTGAGTTTTGGGTCTTATTTTAAGTCTATTACACTTTATATGTGATCCTTTGTGCTAACTCTTTTATCAAAAATTATCTTGTTAGATGGACACTATCATGCCATTTTGAATGTTGGAGAGATTGTTGATGTTACCCATATTTAGAAGCCTGATAATGTCATGACTAAATATCTTTATTTATGTCCCCTGGTGACTTAGATGCAAGTTGAAGAGCTTATAATGTTAAAATTTGGAAATTGAATTTGTATGGTGGATACAGTACAGAAGACACATTGTGCAGATTTGTATTTAGCAACAATCAAACAAACTTTCATTTTTAGGGCTTAAGTAGTCACCAAACACATCACATGATCAGCGTGTTTTATGTTTACAAATGTGAATGAAGAATCCTTGTTTTCGGGCAGTGTGTGTGTATATATCTAATCTTGTTTTGCTCTTATTGGTTTTACATCCAACTTGTTTTTTCTTTCTTTAGATATTAACAGTCCAGATAATGATGATACTGAAGAGAAAGACATTTCCAATATAATATTGTTTCATTTTCTTATGGAAAACCTAAAGAAGATCCATGATAGAGAAATTATTTTGGGGCCAAGAGAAATTGAACAACTTCCTAGGAAAATTTTTGAAAGAGAAAGGGATCCAAAAGCACCTAGCATACCTTTTCTTTACCAGTGTGGCACAGATATTTTTGTTACGGGAGATAGTAAAGACAGCTCACCATTGCTAAAACAGGGCTGTCAGAATGGGCAATATACCTTAAAAGATGATTACGATGATGATAACATAGTGAACTGGAGATGTTTTGCAAAGTATGCTTCACCACACCATGTGTTACTTATTGTAATTCCTGCTTCTTACAAAGATCTAAAGAGGCTTATGTTAACTAAATTGGAAATGGATGAAAGTCAGTTGAGTGCAAGATCTGTGAGGCTTGTCAAAAAAGTTGTTGATGCAAATAGTTCATCACAGAGAGATGAAGCTTATAAGATTTTTCAGGATGGAGAAACCAAAGAGGATGTTGAAGGTAAAAATGAGTCAGTAGATGATGCAACTCTCCCATTGCCTGTTGAACACATGGTGAAAAATGACAAACCTGAAAATATTTCCACAAATCAAGCATATGGTTGTGTCATATTGCCAGTCTACATCTATGATTGCCATCTTGGATCAGTTATTAACCAACTCGTTTATGAAGAAAACTTTAAAAAGTGCCAAGATATTTACCAAGACATGACCTTTAAGATTGATGGCTCATACAGTGAGGCAGAGAGCATAGGCTTTTCATGTTATGAGTCACAACAGAGCCAAAACTCTAAACAGCCATCACCAGAATGCAGGTCAGAGGAAGGAGAAACATATTCTGACAAATTATATCTTAAAAGGCACTGTAATCTTGTTGAAGCAGCATTTTCAAAGAGCTTTGTTTATGCACTGTTCAGGTGTGTTGTGGTTTGCTTTTTTTTTGTTTTTCACCAAGTAAAATGTGACAGAATCTTAGCAAAATACCATTTGTATGCATGTGAAACTTAAAATTCATGTTTACAAAACTTTATTATTTTTTAATGCAAATTAAACTGATATGCATGTTTACTATACTTTTTTTTCAAATTTTAAATTTAAATTAGAGTAATTTGTGCTAGACAGCTTAAGAAACATTTTTAGTTAAAGATTATACAGACTTTTAATTCATGTCTTTCATTATTTGGCTGATTTATCTAGGTGTCTTCATCATGGCTACCACCTTGACAAACAAGATGTGGAAGCAGTTGTGGATGGAATCTGCCAGGAAAATCTACTTGAAGTGGACATTACTCATTTTCTGCAGATGATCTGTGGGCATGTAAAAGACTTCAAGGTCAAAGTCTCTATGGAAGAGACCCACAAGTCATTTGAAAAGAGTTCCAGCAAAAAAAGTTTGGAGCAGGATAGAGACAATAAAGATGGAGATGCTAGTATGATACGGGAAGGAGAAAGGTGCGAAGTTAAATATGTGAAATAAAGTTAGTGTACCATGTAGATTTGTGGGTTATCACTCACAATAAACCATTTATAGGAACTAAAGGTATACATGTAAAAAAGTAAATTCAGTCATGGAACAAGATTCAAATTAAATAACTAAATTCAAGAAAAAAAGTTACAAAATTAAGTACAGAAATTATTTTACAAAATAGCATTTTCAGTCCACATGACTATAAAAATGAAAGTTTAAGAAGAAGAAATGTTCTTACACATCTAAAGAAAACCTTCCTGAGGGCTTCTAAGTATAGGTCTTTAAAGGTATAGGTGCTTTAAACTTTTTTGTATTTTCTCTTGGTCTCCTCATCCTTTTCATTGATTTCTTCATTTATACATACAAAACTACACAAGTCAAAAGATGTAGTGGGTCCACAAAAGCTATTGTTAAAGCTGACAAAGGAAACATTAACATTAAAAATTGAATTTATCTAATGATCTTTGCATGGTACCAAATAATATAAGTAAATGGAAACAATTATCCAGGGTTATCAAATATTGCTAAACATGGCCTATCAAAATCTTTGACTTTGATATCAATTTGAAACTAACAATAAACAGAAATAATGGTTGGAGATGGCTTGAATGGGTAATGAAGAAAAACTTTAATATAAGTTTAATATAACAGCAAATGTACAATGTTTCGACAAGGTTTTGTCATCATCAGGTACCTGATTGTTAACTGATTGTCCTGTATTATACAGTTTGGATTAATTGTGAAGAAAAAATAATTCTTGTTAAATATCTCAAAATCCATTATGTGGTATTAAAATATTGGTGATACATGTAATACAAATTGTTTTTTTAAGAAGCATAGTGAATGTTAACTTGTTTTATTTGAGAAGTAAAGAAAAAGTGGTGCTCATTCTTGATGATATTTTTCACTTGAGCATTTTGTATCTGAGTATTATCTTATATTTTTCTATCCCGATGTTTCCTAGTTGGAGGAAAGATTTTCCTTTGGACCTTCTGCGACGCCATCATCCTTGTGAACCTCTCCAACAACTTCATTCAAGCATTAAACAGAAATTCACCAAAGTCTTTCAGACTTTCTTCCATCCCATTCCCTCACTTCCAGACTTTTATTTTTTCAACTTTTCAGAACAGCAGGTGCACCAGGTAACATTAATGTTTTATTTAGCTAAGAGAATAAAAAAAAATATATAATTTGAGTGAGGTTAAGCTGTTAATCTCTTGAGGCTAACTTTCTCTAACCTTCAAGGTATGTATTACCCTTTGTATTTAAAAAAAAAAGTAGGTTAAAAAGTTTTGGCTAGAAACCTTGAGCTTACTTCCTGTAATTGTAATTTGCATTTTCTTTTAACAAATTGTCTCACAAAACAAAAGTTAAAAGTATTGGTCAAAAAGGTTTGTCAGCTATTTCTTGGTAGTCAAGAATTCTAAGATTGTGGATCACTTCAGGTTAGTTAAAGTTAGATTAGGTAAAATAAATAATATTAATATAATAAAAATGTTTAATGAGGCACGCATGAGAGCATGTTATAATTTTATCACACTATATAATTCTTATGCTTCTTTACTAAACCATTATGTATTTGAGATTATTAAGTTGTGTTGTCCAAGTATCTGGCAACTGTCAATACATTCATTCTTTCAAAATGTCTTTTCAATGCACACAAATAAGTAGAAGCATTTTATAAATTAGGGAATAGTTATTGATTTGATGAGAGTTTGTTTTTACTTTAATTTAGCTAGCTTTTGTAGTTTTGACTTCAATGTTTGCTTGTAATTTATTGCTTTTGAATAGTGTTTTGTGGAATGTAAAATGAAATGTATAATTTAATCATAAAGAATTATATTTGCCAGTAATATTCTTTGAAAATTTATGATAAGGTTGAATATAACGAAGAGGCTGAAGGTATAAATGAACTATCAGATGATGATGAAAATGCAGAGAAGAGTGAAACAGAGGCAGATTCTCAGATGGAACATGTCAGATTTGTGCCTGATCAAGAACTGAATGGTGTGATTTATTTTTGTAGTTCCTTATCAAAATTCTTAAATCTAATATAGTATGTGAATGCTAGTAGTTTGATTTTTCATTTTGTTAGTTTTTCTGTTCCAAGAGAGATTTTGAGATTTTTTGCTCATTATCTCTCACCCAATAATATCTATAGTTTGTTTTTACACTTTAATGATAAAATACTAAGTAATTTTGAAATAGAACATCATTAAAAATATTCTAAGAAGTAGTTATAATGCATTAACATATTATTTTAAAGGAAATGATAGTTTAGATGTTACAGTTTCAATGGTGAATGTGTTACTAATTATTGTACGTTTAGCTGTAAAATATTCTAACTGTATTCGTTAAACTGACTTTATTGTAAGTTAATGTTAATAGACATATGGATTATTTATTCTTTGGCTAAAATGTACATGTGTGTGTTACATGCTGTTTAGTAAAGGTAACATTTACTCTTTGATAGTTTGAGCATTCAATATGTAAAAAAACACCTAATGTAAAGTTATGTGATATTTAGTTTCATGTAAACTTATCAGAAACACTTGAAGACAAGTTTTGCATTATCATTTACTAAACTTATGAAGCAGTTAATTTGAATTGAGTCTTTATCAAAATTTTAATCATTTGCCATTACAACAAATGAATAATGAGTATTATTATTATATTTTTTATACATATTATATAAAATATTGTTAATTACCATTGTGTAAAAGACTGTTTTACATTATCAAAAACCATTACATAAATGTTTTGGTTTAGATGTATAATCTTTTACTCACAACAAACGACGTAAAATAATTGAGATTTGTCACACGCTATCCAAACACCTGAAGTATTTTCAGGTTATTAGAGGTGAGTAAAGGACTATACATTTAAACCAAACAAACCACTATATGAGGTCTACTTCTTTCCCAAGCAGCACTGATGAGTTGTGGATTTGGTGAAACTAGTTTGATCCAGCAGAAGTAGTAAATGAAAGAATAGATTAGGCCTCTTCTGCATCATCTTTTCTTCACTGAAATTCATGTTTTGGTGAAGAAAAAAAATTAGCAAATGAATTATGTAAAAGTAGTAAACTTTTGAGACAAATTTCGTTATTTTTTATAGTTATTTTAGTGTAAAATGTGTATATTTAAGGGATTTAAAGTTATTCTGCTAAGTAAAAACATATACAATTGATTGTGTACCTGTAAGTTATTTTAAGTATTGCATTTAATAAATGAACAAACAATGGCATTAAGATGATTTGCATTTCAGTGTGCAGCTTAGTATAATTCATAGCTCTTCAAAGTATGTTACTAGTATTCAGAACTTGAAAGTAAAAACCTTTAACGTCATTAAAGCTTAACATATCTTATTATCAATAAGATTTTGTTTAATTATCATTCATGGTCTTGAAAAAATCAACCCCAAGTTTTTGTTATGGTATTGAAGCTCCTAATTATATTTTATTTTTTCTAAAGGATGAAAAGATGTATATTTTTCTTATAAACTTCTGATACTGATTTTATGAACTTTTTAAAAGTTTGAAGGATCATTTCATTTTAACTGTTACTCCCTTTAAAGTAAACATGTTCTTAATAATGAGATTTAAATAGTATGCCTGAAGGTGTTGTGTGTCATGACATAGATGACAAAGCATTATATTTGTATGTATTAAAAAAATGGGGAAAAGTTTGTTTATTTAATGCAATCACAAGACACAAGGTTAGCAAATTCAAAGCAAATGATGCTTGGTAATGCCTGTATACATAGTTTAGGTATATCATACACAAGTGCTACTTCACTATAAATGTGATAATACAAGTATGTTTCATCCTGATGCATTGTAACTTATATTTAAGTAGTCTAAAAATAATGCCTTTCAATAGCCGAACGTACTCTACTGTAGGTATGTTTTTGAACTTTAATACATTTCCAGGTGTGAAAAAAGCAAACAGATTTTACTGCTAGGTGCTAACTCAGTTTTATATTATTCCATTTCACATATCTGAAAAACTTTCTTGATAACATCTAATTGAATTTGAACTTTTTATGATCATGGCAAAGTTTGAAAAATATATTTTGATGAAATTCTGAAGTAAAACGAATCTTTCTATACAATAAGAAAATGTGACATTGCTTTTATAAAAGGTTGTACAAACAAACTTCTTGCTGATCAGTTTTGGCTGTTGTGTATATGGGAATGTCTGCATTATATGTGCACATTATAGAATATGAATTGTTCCTGTATTTAATAAGGAAAGTAGCGAAATTGTCTGGAGTTTTTTGAGTTATTATTACACATTTTTGTTATTTTGTTTTCACTATCAGGTTAACTATTGTTTATATTCATGTAAGAAGCTTTCTTGTTTACTTTTAAACTTGTATTTTCATTCATGACATATTATGGAATTCTTTTTTCTTGAGCATAAAAATTGGCCCCTATGGTTAGAGTACTCGACTTGCAATCTGTGGGTTGCAGGTTTGAATCTTGTCACTGAATATACTTGCCCTTTAAGCCTTGAGGCATTTTAATGTAGTGGTCAATCCAATTATTCATTGGTAAAAGAGTAGCCCAAGAGTTGGTGATGGGTGATGTTGACTACCTGCCTTCCCTCTAGTCTATCTCTTCTAAACTAGAGACACGTAGCACAGAAAGTCCTTTTGTAGCTTTGTGTGAAATTCTGTAAACAAACATAAAAATATCAAATTGCTACAGAACCAACTTTGAAGATCAACAACTGCATACTAATACTTTTGTGTTCAACATATATACAATGCTAATGTTAAAATAAACCACAAGACTACCATATTACTGATTTTCCCCCATTGATGTAATAAAAAAAAATATTTTTCATTAAAGCATGGAAGTGTAAAGCAGCAAGAAGCCTGTTGCACCATGTAATTTAAGAAAGATGTCTTTATGAGGCAGATACTATATGTATTATTGAAGTAACTTGAAACATTTTGTAACTGCAAACAAGTTATGTATATTTTTTTGCTTTAGAATTTAGTACACTGCATGAAAGAGAGTACAATACTGTATATTCACTGTTAGTAAGGAATTTGGGAAGTTCTTTCTAGCAAGTGGAGTATTTTCTTACCACATTTTTACCTTTTAAAGTTTTATATTTAGCAGGTGGATAAAAGTGTTACTTAAGTAATAAAAAGAATTGAAATTTACAGTATTTTTAATTTAGATTTTCTTGTTATGCACCTAGAGAGAGCATACTGTAAATTATTTATCAATAGGAAATGAATATATGATTTGATTATACTTGATGTTTTGATTATATTTTAAAGGAAAATAGGTAAGCTTATGAATGATTTGAATACAAGTTTTTATTGTGAAATATAACTATTTTTTCAAAGTTACCATCCTGTTTCTTTATGATCTTAGAATAAATTTAATAATTTCTCTAGATTTTCCAACTAAAGATGGTGAAGCACCCTCTTGTGAGGAAGCTAGCAGTTTGTCAGAGGACACAAGTGTTGGTAGGCAGTCTGTCTTATCTTCACTTGAAGATGAAGATGAGATGAATAATCGGCAGAATCTAGGACTCTCTATTCCACCACTTTTTGTTCATTTGACGTGCTCAGTGCGAACAAATCATAATGTTGGAAACTGTTCCTTAAAATCTCTGCCTACCTGTCTTGGTAAGATACTGTGTTCTACAGTTTTGAGTTATCTTAAATAATAACATAAAATTTTGAATTTAAATGTATTTAAATGTGAAAATTCAAAATGTTTGTGGATATATGAAATATTTTTAAACCATACTAAATTTTGGTAAATTTTGTGCATATCTTAACTAAGAAGAGCAATTTATGATGGATAAATTAAGATAGTATGTGTGATAAAACCTAATAGTGCCGTAATAGTTATCTCGTTAAAATAATGGGTTTATTTGTAACTATTTTGGACATATAATTAAATCTGGACCTCAACATTAATGATTTAATTACATGTTGAGGCACCCTATGATGAGAACCTCATCCTACTGAACTATACATTTATAGAAACACCATCTGCTCAAGCATCACTAACCTTAGTAACACCGTCTGCCTATAGTAACTGACCCTTTGATATCAAAGTATATCACTATATCCCCTAAGACAGCTGCACCCTCTGGTACCACTTTATGGAACTATGATTCCTAGCAACATGCTTTCTGTTGAGTAACACTCAAAGTATGATGTTACATGACATTTCTTAGCAACACACTCTGGCAGCAGACAACCTCCATTGTTACGTGTCATTGTGGCATGACAACTTTCACCTGTCAAGTGTCATGGTGGTCTGGCAATGTGTCCCTATGAATTCATCGTCTGTTTTCACTTCATCCCTAGCAATGTACCCCCCCCAAGGCAGCTAGTCAGTGAGTGGAACTACTCTCACATGGAACAAAGATATTTTTGGGTATTAATCGTCATCCACTTTTCTGGTAGGTCATCTATGGAGAGAAAATGTAAAATGTGAGAGTTTTGGTGTCTGGGTTTTGTGAGTGGGCTGGAATTCTTTTGCAGTAGGTGTCTGTGACTTGTTGGTGTTAAATTCGAACAACAAATGTGAGAGTTTTGGTGCCTGGGTTTTGTAAGTGGGCTGGAATTCTTTTGCAGTAGGTGTCTGTGATTTGTTGGTGTTAAATTCGAACAACAAATGTGAGAGTTTTGGTGTCTGGGTTTTGTGAGTGGGCTGGAATTCTTTTGCAGTAGGTGTCTGTGACTTGTTGGTGTTAAATTCGAACAACAAATGTGAGAGCACACAGTCCACTTGTTTTAAAATGATACATATTCGAAACAAGTCAAACGTATGTTCAAAAATTCTTTACACTATAGGATATCACAGTTGTATCTAAAACTCCAAATAATTCTCTTTTCTTGTCAAAAGTCTATTCAGCCTGATTCAATTGCATTAGAATCCAATTAACAACAAGCATTATTTTTCTCTATTCTGTTTCTTACTATACAATCTGTGATAAATTCACCTATATTACCTCATGGGTTACCACAGTTGTATCTCGAACTTCAAGTAATTTTCTTCTTTTGTCAAAGTCCACACAGAAGGGTTCAATTACTTTAGAAGACCATTTGACTAGACAAATTATTCTCTTTATCTCTAACTCTCTCAACACGGGGTCGGTCAATTTGAACCAAGTCACATGACCTTTTGAACTCGTTTAAAGTCTTTATAAATTTAATACTTATAACTCTCAATATATTGAGTATATTTTCACAAAATTTGGCAACCTTTCAGTTAATATTACAAGTCTTTCACATACAAAGTCATATTTTTTAGTGAAGTATTTTTAATAAAATAAAATAAAGATTTGTCCATGAATATATTGAGTATTTGTTTTGGATAGTCCGTGTGCAAAGTAATTTCCATGTTAAGATTAAAAATACTTTTCCTCATCTCAAAAATTTCAAATTTCCTTTGTGTAATCCCTAAAACCTCCTAAATGCATTTCATAAAACTAAAACTTTATAGCATATCTGCTATTTTCTCTTCCCCATCTCAAAATGGAATTAATCAATTTGACTGACCTTGTAACCACCAAAAAAAAAAAAAAAA